GATGCAGACATGATATCTTTTTTAAACAATATTAGTACAAACGTGTTCTCAGTGAACTAAGAGAAAATCTCTCTTTATCTATTATCTATCTATCTATCTATCTATCTATCTATCTATCTATCTCCTTTCCCCCTCTTTTTTTCCACAACAAAGCTGTCCTTTATTTACACTTTTGTCAAGTTAGTAATGCATGATGCTAAATTGCCTACCAACTAATAGCAAACCTTAACCAGACAGGATTTTCATCTCAGGAGTGAGGTAGCTTGTTTGCTTTAGACTTGGCCTAGTGCCTAAAGCAAATGTATCATGATTTTCATTTCTGTGGACATTCATGGATAAGATTTTTTTCTTGAGTCTCAAAGGAAATTTCCAACTTGACTTTTTACTTATTTGGGTGTTATTATGGCAGTGGTGATAGGGTTTTGTTCTTCAGTTACACATAGTATATATACGATGTTAATGGAATTATGATTTTGATTTAAGTAGGAAGTTAAGAAAGATATGGTGAAGGGCCTGGGGTGATAGCTCTGTAGAATAATAGCTTGTGGACAGGGGAGATGGCTCAGTGGAATAAACGCTTCCCTGGCAAGCACAAGGGCCTGAGTTCAATCCCCTATCTCACAAAAAAAAAAAAAAAAAAAAAAAAAGGACGACATAGAGAGTTGGAGTTGGGGAATGAAATAAAGAAATGATTAGGATGTACTATGTGTATTATTATTATGAGCATATCAACTACACATGATGAATAAAATCATTATTCACTGATATTACATGCCAAAATAAAAATAAATTTAAAAAATCAGGAAAATAATAGAAGAGTGATGTAAGGTGATAGTTTTGACACCAAGGTAATATAGGATGGGATGTCGATGTGATTTGATTGAGACCCGCCAAAGGAACACACGACACATTCTTCTGAATGTGTTTCATTGCATTATGGAGTCCAGTGTTTGTAGTCTATATTTGGCCACAGGCCTCCTTCATACTTGCATTCTCCCTCTTTGCTTTGTAATGGCTACAACTTAAGGAGTAGTGTTCTCCCACAATCTCCTATTTTTTATTTTTCTATTTTGGTGCCACTCATTTATGGACTGAATTATTGACTAAATTAGAAAGAATAAGATATTACAAATGCACTTTATACCACCTGCACAAAATAAGACTTAATGTGTTGTAGTACTGTTATACACTAGTAAAAATGGACTTACTTTTCTGAAAATTACCGTGCTGCTTAAGATGAAAGTTAAGGCAAGATATTAAAGGTTAATATTATTACACAGAATTTAATAGCTACATTTCAAACAATGAGAAACTAACACCAAAAATTATTTGCAGAAGAGTTTTTTTTGCTGTACTTTCTCTTAAATTTGTTTTTACAAAGATGAAATGGAAAAAGTGCTTAGTAACTAGGGAAGAGAATTTGGGCTGAAGAGAGCAGAGGGGTTTGGAAAAAAAGAAATAAAAATGTGTCATGTACAGGTATACATTCCCTATGATTAAGATGATAATTGTATATGCCTAAAATGTTTCCATAAACCTAATTATAGAAAAAGGAAATATTTTTGCATGTAATATTGTGAGATATGAGTTTATGTTAGAATGCCACGGCACTAGATAAATTTAAGGTGGACTTTTATAAATGTTATACAGCATGTCTTGAAAGAGGGGAAGTCCATGTTATGTACCCCTCATTACACAATTCACTACAAAACATATAGAGTAAAATATGAAAATTTACTATTAGAAATAAGACAGAACATTCTCATTAGCACTACAAAGTACATAATATATGAACAAGAATTAAAGCTTCTTACCTCTCCAAACTTTCATTTGTAATGCTTTCTACCTGATTCGTCTGTCCTTTGTCATCACTTTATTCATTCTAGAAATGAAACAGTGCCCTGTTCTTGCTTTGATGGTTTTTCACATTGCCAGTTCTCCCTGTCTAAGAATCTTCCCTGAATGTTCATAATAATTCCTCACATCTTGCTGGAGTTTTTCATTTTTAAAAATTAAGTGGACCTGTATAGTTAATATGTATGTAATAATCATAGTCAACATAAGGAATTTTTATCTGTATATGATATGTCTTGATTCATGTTTTTTCCTTAGAATCCTTGCCTTCCCTACAACTCATCTTTATCTTCTAATTGAGCTTTGTCTTCTTTTTTTGTTACAAAATTTTATTTTTCATACAAAAGAAGTGTTTTATGTTTTTTAAATATTCACTTGTACTAAATTAAAATAAAAATTTTAAGTGAGATCAAGTACAATCAATCAATAACTATAGTGAAAGTCATTGACTTGTGGTTTTCAAAGGTGATGGTTTTGATCTCATTTTGCCTGACTGAATTATAGACACTCATCTTGTTGTCCTGTAGGGATGTACTGGGGTCTTCATGAGGCCTCATCCTGCCCACATATATGTGATTAATTTCCAGCTTCAGTGGCTCCTAATATCTCTCCCTTTACTGTTTTGTTGTGTAAGTGATGGGTATTCCATTGCAATCGAAGAAGCTGTGTTTTGAGAACTCTTTTAGAGCACCTTTTTACCGTTGATGTCAGTCCAAAGGGCTTGCTACTGGTACTCAGCAATTTAACTCTACACAGCTCAATAATGCTACTAAGTCACCAGTACAACTGGCAACTGTCTGAAGTTGTTGGTGATTTGAACCTTTTACAACTCAGTATATTATTACAGAATCACTTTTCACATGTCATGTTTACACTTTTCTACTGGATGGTTAAGACCAACTTAAGGTGAGACTTGTATAAGTAAAATATTTAACTTTTTGCTGCCTTACAAGATGAGTTAAATCCCTTCAGGATTTACTTTGGAACCAAGTATAGCACCTCTTAGATCTTATGTCAGTGTGAGCTATCTGGATGAGTCATGGCCATTGCTTGATCAAATTGCTTTCTGTTAAAGCTTGAGATATTTTTTCTCCAGGTGACTCCTCCTTAGGTACACTATACATCATTGTCCACTTTCCTCTGTGGTTCCATAATTTCCTTGATCAGAAAATCAGAGACTCAGCTGAGTTGTAGAATGTTGCAACAGAGGTTCTATTATGTCCTGAGTCCTCATTGACCTAGGAGGGCTAGAGCCAAAATATTGGCTATCCTCTTAGCCCATCTATATCTCTAATTTTGATCTCTAAACCTTAGTTGTTAAATATCGAGATCCAGGAGAGAAACTTAATGACATTACAGATAATGGTGGCAGTATGCTCCATACTACTATCTGAATGTCAAACACCTTAGACCTAAAATGGAACATTATTTTCTAACAAGCATGAATATTTTAATATTTAAATCCCTATAGAATGTTAATGGATAATAGTTACATATTGTAAATAGACATTTAGAAATCAAAACCATATGTATCTTGCAGCATGACAATCTTGACAATTTGTGACATGCTTAAATTTTTACTTTGACATAACAACCCTTTTAACCAATCATATATATCTAATACAGAAGAAGCTTTTGTCTAATTTGTCATTCTTTATTGGGATATACATCACTAGTTTTTTTTGTTAAAGGCAGAGGACTGAATCTGAAAGAAAATCTTGTCACAATAAGCAATCTTTGTTTTCATTTTATTTTTCCTTTATCATTTTTCCTTTTCCTTCTTTCATTTCTCTGTTTGAACAATTTCTCCATTGTTCCCTACCTGTATTGTACATTTCTATCCTTATTTTTTTCTGAACTACATAACAAGATCATGACTCAAAGACACAAATGATTTTGAAAGATATTGTTGATAATGCAATATTTAATGTCTTTCCTAATACTTAATGTGTCAATATAGAATTTGTGAAAGGAATAAAATAAGTTGTGTTCTAGTTAATCTCTTCTTTGTTTCAGAATGTTGTACAACCATGTCTCAGCTACTCTGTTTTCTTTGTTGGAACAAATACCTGACACTCAAAAAGAAGGAAGTAAAGGTTTAGTTAGCTCACAGTTATTGGAGGTTTCAGTCCATACTTAGCTTGCTGTAAGGCAAAGTGGCACATGGCAGACAGCAACATTTCATGGGGGTAACAAGGAGCAAGAGCTCAAATGGAAGGAGTAGTGGCATCAAAGACTGTAAACAGCAAGTCTGTCTCCCTTATGTTGCATTCAGGCTATGTTCCAGGATGTGTGTAGTACTCACACCTATAATCTCAACAGAGTCACACCCATAATCTCAGTGTACCATGAGTTAATTACAAACACTAGAAGTCCAACACATGTCTACATGAGGCTTTGGGGTGTCAAGTAGATACAAACCATTACAAAATTATCCAATTCTGCTAAGTTGGTAAGATGGATGCATACTATAGCAAGTGTCACAGTTGTAAAGAGCTGTGAGAGTTTATTCACATGGTCATGATCATTGTAGCAGTATTAGAAAGCATTTCAAGAATTAATATAGTGAAATGAAACAGGTAAAAGAATATTGTATAAAAATACATACTAACATAGGAACTATGAAGCCAATGGTAGAAAGTCTATTTCTGACTGCTGGTCATGTATAAGACCATGCTACGTAGTATTTAAAAATAAATATATAAGTAATAAAGTGGACCCACACCATTGATTTGGCTTAGTTCTACATAGGGAACTAGATTTTGTCGTAAAAGTAAAATTGTACTAACTTTAAAAAATATTACACTTACATTGAAAAACGATTATACAGATGTGTTACTTAAGTAACACTTAAAGTGCCCCAGAATGCTAGAATCAAGTGTAACAACATTTAGAAAATAAAAAAAATTCTCATGTACTTTGAAACATTTGAAAACTTCTCAAATATATGTAGGGGCATAAGCTGAAAATCAATGAATTCTCCTTAGTCTATGTGAATGTCTATATATGAAGGATCATTGATGCTCATGCAGAAAACAACAGATCAAATTTCACTCCAGGAATGTAAAGTACCAGATTTACCTATCCCTATATCTGCCAAATAAAACTTTATGCATTCCAAATAACCTTTAAAGAAAGGGATTTACCTGCCATGTTGATCAGTAGAGTGCTTCCCTTGTATGCATAGAGTCCTTGGAGAAAGGCTTCTGCAATTTGTGAGGCATCAGGAAATTCAGCATCCAAATTGTTCTGAAACCTGGACACATTCTCCTTTTTCCCACTCACTAACAGCACAATCCCAGTCAGAGAAATGAAGCAGAGAATAGTCATCTTCATCAAAGCACTGATAGTTTGAAACCAGGACACTGTTTTCAACCCCTGAATATTCAGAAGTCCCAAAGACCACAAAATGGCCAAAGCTAGGCATTTCTTTGGTAGCTCTGGAGGTGAGCATCCAGGATAGAAAGGCTGAATTAGATAGCTTGCTACTAATAAGCTTGGTGCAGCTAGTCCTATGAAATAAGCAAAAAGTTTGATCCAAATATAAAGGAAAGCAACAGTAGCCCCAAGAGATCTTTTAAGGAGAAAATAAAATGCTGCACTTCTAGGGAAGGTGGTCCCTATCTCTGTACTACAGAGGCCACTGATCATGTTCAATATGCCACAAAGGGCCCAGATACTTAGGGAGATAGGAATGTTCAGCGAGGAGTACTTCAGTACCCCCTTAGGAGATACAAATATTCCTGCTCCTATGATGGCACTATATAAGAAGATATTTCCATGGAACAATCCTATTGTTCTTGACAGCTTCATACTTCTGCCTTTCCCTGTACTTTCTATGTTAATATCTAAACACAAAGCTTCCCAATAATTTCTTTTATACTTTCTCTTGATTTAGTAAGCCTCCTCAGGAAAAGATATTCTATCAGCACTAAACCATGTCATCCTTTCCCTAGTTTTTTAATATTTAACTCTGCTGGTTGGAGTGAGTAGTGTTTATTACGTAACTTAATTTGCTTTTACAAATGATTGACTTGGGTCTTTTCTTTACTATTTTCTGTTCTCTAACTAAAACCAGCATTGAAATATTTTCCATGTCAGTTATTACTGTTTTAAAATCAAATATGACACTGAGCAAGTTAGTCACTGTGAACTAGGAATAAAAGATTAAGAAAGTCTGAGGAGATAGAAGTCTCCCTATGATGTAGAACACTGGTATTTAACTAAATTCATCTGCTGGACCTTCATAGGAAATACTCAGGGAAAAATGGTTGTGGAAGCACATTGCATCTACTAAAGAATTCCATGTTTGATAAGATGTAGGAATTATGGCATTTATGAGACTTGATCTTCTTTGGGATGACAGGGTGGTTATATCTCATTTCCAGGAAGGATAAGATTTAGTGGGACAAAAATTTCTGTACAGATTTAATGCAATCCCTATCAGACTACCACCAACATACCTCACAGAGGTTGACAAATCAGTCCTAAAATTTATCTGGAACCAGAAAAGACTTAGAATAGCAAAGGCAATCCTAGGCAATAAAGACAAGGCTGGAGGCATTACAATTCCTGACTTGAAATTATACTACAAGGCTACTCTGATACAATCAGCATGGCACTGGCAACAAAATATACCTGAGGATCAATGGAATAGATTAGAAGACATGGAAGCCCCTACGAACACACTCAGCCACCTTATCTTTGGCAAAGGGGCCAAACATACTCCCTGAAAGAAAGATAGCCTCTTTAACAAATAGTGCTGGAAAAACTAGTTCTCTACGTGCCGAACACTAAAACTTGACCCAGGTCCATCACCATGCACTCAACTAAAGTCAAAATGGATTAAAGATCTAAACATTAAAGCAGGGACACTAAATCTCCTGGAAGAGAAACTGGGAGGAACTCTTGAAGACATAGGAGTAGGCAAAGACTTCATGAACAGAAATCAAATCTCATGGGAAACAGGTGAAAGAATTAACAACTGGGACCTGCTCTTACTGAGAAGTTTTTTCACGTCAAAAGAAATTAACAACAAGTGAAAAGGCAACCCACAAATTTGGAAAAACTCATGACAAATAAATACTGAGACAAAGGTCTGCTTTCTGGAATTTATAAAGAACTAAAAAACACTAGGGCCCCAAAATTTAAAGACCCAATCCAGAAATGGGCATCCGAGATGAACACATGCTTCTCAGAGGATGAAATTAAAGAAGCAAATAAATATATGAAAAAATGCTCCACATCACTAGCCATCCATGAAATGAAAATTAAAACAACATTGATATATCATCTCACCCCAGAAAGAATGGCTATCATAAAGAAATCACCCAACAACAAATGTTGGAGAGGCTGTGGGGAAAAAGGAGCCTTTCTCCACTGCTGGTGGGAATGTAGACTGGTGCAACCATTATGGAAATCAGTGTGGATACTCCTTAGAAGAGTTGGACTGGAAATCCCCTTTAAACCAGCTATTCCTCTACTGGGGATTTTCCCAGAGGATCTGAAAACATCATATCATAGGGATATATGTGTGCCTATGTTTATAGCAGCACAATTTGTGATAGCCAAATCTTGGAAACAACAAAGATGCCCATCACCTGAGGAATGGTTGAAAAAGATGTGGTATTTTTACACAATGGAGGAGTATTCAGCTATTAAGAATGATAAACTGCAAGCCTTTATATTAAAGTGGAGGCCACTTGAAGATATACTCATAAGTGAAATAAACCAGACCCACATGTGTAGATATCGTATAGTTTCCCTAGTATAAGAACTCCAATGAAGAAATACAAATAGAAAGGTATAATACAAGTGAAAGGAAAGCAGGATCTCAAGGACTAACTAATCAAAATAGGGAAAGGAGAAGAGCTAGGAAACATGACAATGCCAAGATGTACAGTTATATGTAGAAGATGGGCAAGGTAATGATCCTGAGAATCTCCAGAAGATTTTTGAATCTAGCAGTTAATTGGAAAGATTCTCACCCTGACTAACTATATATACTGATACCTGTGAACTAAGCAACTGCACTGCAGATGGTAATCTGTAATAGTAGTATCATGCTTGGAGTGCCTGTCATTCTGGTCTTCTGAATACGGGCTGGTTGTCATGACATGCCAGTTGCTGTTGTGCTGTCTCTCAGGTAGATGATTGTTCAAAAATAAGGGGGTGGTGAAGGAAAGCAGGAGACAGAAAAAGGAATATTGTGGGACTGTCCTGCTTCAAGGTTGTATATGGTTAGATTTTTGGACTTATGTGTAAATATAAGAAGTATATAATTCTTTATGACTATTTTAAAAAAATATATTCTAATTTTAAAATGTTTTTTCATCATATTCTGTAGGGACTTAAAGTTCAACATATCAATACTTGATGAAAAATACCTGTTCCATGTTATGCCTAAGATGTTTGATATTCAGACAGATAGTGAGGTTAAACTTAACAGCCTAGGTTGTATGGTAATAACAATAAGCTTGCCTTCTGGATGGTTAACAGCCTAAGTTTTCAGACCAAAATTAGAGAAAAAGGAGGGCTGCAAGGAAAGCCAACATTTTGGCCCTAGCCTTACAAGGTCAATTAAGACTCAGGACATATGAGAACTTGTACTGTTAACGTCATGTAACTCCATAGTGTTCCCAAATTTTCTGATCAAGGAGATTATGGGGCCAAAGAGGAAAGTGATCGATGATGTAGAGCATGCCTAAGGAGAGTCCCATGGAGAGAAAATATTCTCTCAGTCTTTCACAGAGAGCACATTGGCCAAGCAATGGCTGTGACTCATCCACATGGTTGACACTGACAAAGGTTCTACAATCTGAGGCACTGGATCTCAGGATAAATCCTGAAGGAATTTCACTGAACTGATCAGATCCAAAAGCTATAACTCTTGTTGCATAGGTCCTGCTTTACTTTGGTCTTAACCATCCAGCAAAAAAATATAAAAACAAAGTATAAGAAGTAAAGCAATGGTGTTATTTTGAGCTGTAGTGGACTCAGGTCAACAATTTCTGACATTGCCAGTGAAGCGGAAGACCCAATACTATTATGGACTACTGAACTCTTTTAGAATATTTTGCTAAGTTTACACACCTATAATATTTCAATGATGGTACTTAACAAAAAAGGGGATACAGATGAATATCCATTTTGTATCTGTGTATTCAAAGTGGTTAGGATAGATATATAGTTACATTCTCTTATTGAATAGAGGGACTTGGTCTAATGGTGTTTGTAAATAGGATATCAAGTCTGCATGTTTTATAGCAATTAACCACTAGGAAGAATGTATACAATGTGTTAATTATTGAAACTGTCCTACCAATTTGGTTTGAAACTGTCTCATTGCTATTTGTTTCTCAATAAAACTATGGAAAAAAAAGGATTTTAGTAGGACAGTGAATAGGAATGCTGCATATTGGTCAAGTTGTCTGCAGTCCAGGAGGTCCCTGCACTATTGCTTTTGCAATGCTGATGGAATGCCATTATTTACCATAACTACTCAAGACATGTTCCTGTTCCCCTCAGTTAAACATTACTATAGTGTAAGTCAAATATCATAGGAATTTACAATCTTTAGTTTACTTGACACATACATGTAAGGTATAAGATTATTAGATATTTTGATGTTATCTGTGGGTCATCAGTTGTTCTTGTTTCTGTTAATCGAAACTCATGTTTGAACTTCAAAGTTCTTAAAATGTCATCTTTAATCTTCATCAGCATAATATTTAAATGTAGTTATTCTTAGAATTTGGAGTACTAGGCCAAGTGGAGGGATATTTATCTCCTAGTAACATTCATAAAAGTATTGTACAGCATTACAATACTGTTATTAATTCAGTGTGAAATTTTACTTTATTTATTTGTGCTTTGATAATTATGCAATTTAATTTTATTTCATTCTTTTTGAGACATAGTTTTACTATGCAGTTCAGGATGGACTTGAACTCACCTTGTATCCTGGCCTGGATCTTAATGTTCTGTAATCCTTTTACCTCAGCCTTTTGAGTGCTGAGACTACAGACTTGTGCTAACACTCTTTTCAGTAACTTTTTTTTTTATTTTTCAACAAATAATACACTGCATATATTCTTCTTAGTGGTTAATTGCTGTACAAGATGCGGACTTGTGATCCTAACAAACACCATTAGAACAAATCATTCTATTCATTAACAGAATGTAACTATATATCTATCCCAACCACTTTGAATACACAGATACAAAATGGACATTCATCTGTATAGCCCATTTTTTCTAAGTTCCGTTATTGAATATTATAGGTGTGTAAACTCAGCAAAATATTCTAAAAGAGGCCAGTAGTCCATATTAGCAGTGGGTCTTCTGTTTAACTGGCAATGTCAGAAATTATTGACCTGAGTCCCCCACAGCTCAACTTAACAGCATGGCTTTATTTCTTATAATTTCGTCTTCATACTTTTCTGCTGGATGGTTAAGACCAAGGTAAAGCACGACCTATGCAACAAGAGTTGTAGCTTTTTGGTCTGAGAAGGTCAGTGAAATGCCCTCAGGATTTGTCCTGAGATCCTGTACCTCAGATTGTAGAACCTTTGTCAGTGCAGCCATGTGGATGAGTCACGGCCAATGCTTGGCCAATGTGCTCTCTGTGAAAGCCTGAGAGAGTGTCTTCTCCCCATGTGACTCTCCTTAGGCCCACTCTATGTCATCGATCACTTTCCTCTTTGGCTCCATAATCTTCTTGATCAGAAAATTTGGGACACTACCGAGGTACATGACGAGTAACTTTATTTTACACAATGCGGTTTCTTGGTAATCAATGAAGTATTATTTCAGATGGGATCTGAGTGAATGTTTTTTTAAATTTGAACTTAACTGGTATTTCTATGTTGACCCTGAGGTTATATGAAAGCACTGT